ATAATATAGAAAATAATAATACTGAACAAATAAATGAATGTAATCGTCAAGAAATGTTCTTCATGAGTTTTATTACCTGTCTATCATCAGGTGTTTCTTTTTCCCTTTCAGTGTATTGTTTCCTCTCATTAAGCACCCTTCCTACAAGTGTCTACTACTATTCCGAATGCGATAGAAAAGTTGCATCGTTTCTGCACTTGAGATGCATACAAAAAAAAAAAAAAAATTCATACACAACACTCACAGAAGAAGTTTTTTCTTCTTTTTTTTTTACCCTGTGATTTGAACGTGATACAAAGTAAAGAAAAACAGAAGGGATGAAGAAGAAGAAGAAAAAAAAAAGAAGAAGGAAATAAAGAAAGAAGAAAAGAAGGAATGAAGGGAAAATAAAAAATAAAAAAAAAAGAAAAAGAAAATGAAGAATATGTACTCGCGTATTAAACGAGAAATAAGAAGACATTCTATCGCGTGGATGAGTTAGTCACAAACACAAATACACACACACACACAAACACACAGACAGACACACAGAGATACACATTATCTCTGAAAAAGCAAAACAATCGTTGTTGTTCTCAGTGCTTTTCAGCATCCAACTGACACAACTCATTCCCACAGAGTTTTCTGTGATATTTCCGCTTTGCTTTTGCCAACCAAGCGAATGCAATCGTCGTATGAAAGAGTAAAAACGTATTCTACTAATTCTACTTGCATATAATATACATACAAAATAATTTATAGTATATATACATATATATATATTATTGTAGTATGTAATAATAAGCTAAAGAGAGAGAGATATTGAAGTTCATTCTCACGGATATATATTCAATCGAACCAATTCACCCTTATTGCGTTTATACAATCGAACTATCAAACGATTTTAAATTGTAATTTAACTATAATCATTCAAATATATACAATCAAATCTAATACGATTTCCTGCTTCAATAATCATACATATATTTTTAAAAGTATTATAAAAATAATAAATAAATTAATAGAAGATAAATAGACTATAATGTTATATTTATATTTAATATAAATTAATTAGAAATAATATTATATTGATATTCAAAATAAAATAATAAAAATATAAATAACCATAAAATAATTATTATAATTAAAATAATAGTAATAATAAATATTAATTAAATATTTATATAAAATTAAATAATTATAATAATATAATATATATAATATATTATAATACATATAAAATAATATAATATTATATAATAATAATTTATATAGTAATAAAATAATAATAATAATTACTATTATATAAATAACAAATTAAAATAATATACATTTTTTTTTTTCAATACTATTACAAATCGTCTAGAAACTAGAAAATAATAATTAAAAATAATCAACAAAATATTAATTAATATTATTAATTATACAAATAAAATTGTGTTTGTTCGATCAATTACAAAATTTATTCATTTTAAGCTTTATTACAGAAGCTAGATACAAATCGAATAAAAGCTTTTTCCTATATTTTTCTCCTTGAATGGATACGCGAAAAACCAGCACCAGTAAAGCTCCCACGGGCAAAGCTCGATTTTCCATTCACGATCAATTCGACACATCTACTTCTTCTACCAAATACACTTTACTTTATTCTTTCCCTTTTTTCTACCTTTTTTTTTTTTTATTATTCATCTCTATTTATTTCCTTACTTCTTTCAAGAGTCTAACACAACACAACACTATTCTCCTCTCTCTCTCTCTTTCTCTCTAAGCAAACACTATGCTCAATCTCTTGAAATCTTAAGATTTGTCGACTTTTACTATAAAAGATTGAAAGCTTACACGACCAGAATTTATTACAATTGTGTTCTTACATATTATAATATAAATATTTGTTCTAAAAGTTTACTATCAATAAAGATAAATAAATCAAAAATATACAAATATTCATTTAAAAATTTGACTTTTTTAATTTATTTATTTGAGTACTTCTATTTGCAAAATTATTATTATTATCAACTAATAAAACAATATTTTTATGTAACTATTGTGTCAAATATTTTCTATAATTAAATATAAAATATAATATATATAAAAAAAAAACAACAACAACATTTTATATAACACAAAATTAGAAAATAAATATTGTTTTAGTTGACAATAATAATTTGTATATATGTGTGTCAAATATTTGTCTATAATTAAACCTTAAAATAATATATAAATAAACGAAACATATTATGCAACATAAAATTAGATAATAAAATAAATAAATAAATAATTTGTTAACTTACAATGATAATTCATTTACAAAACAAATTAAAAAAAAAGAAAGCACACACACAAATCTTTTTATATATATATATTATAATATGTAATATATCACACTTTACTTCAACAAGAAAAAAAAACCAAAAACAAAAATTCCTACATCAGCAGAAATCTCTCCACCTTAGAATTTTAAATAAAAAGATAAAAAAAAAAAAAAAAGGAAAATTGCTTACAGCTAGCAAAAATACAAATTTCAAGGGATAATGGCCCATGCAATTATTCATCTCATACAAAATTACACTTGGTAAGGAGTCTTGTGATGACGCTTCTTTTTAGTCAATTTCACGTAGTAGAGAAAGATAGTTGAAAAGGACAAACCAACTAAAGAGAAAGAGAGAGAGAGAGAGATAGAAAACCACTACGATTTTAATATTGGTCTAGCTAGAAGATTTAAACTAGTATCAAGAAGCCAACATTATGATTCGCTGGGGACCCACCGAGTTTATTAACTCTTTCAACCACGCCACATTAGACTCACGAATATTACTTCCTACCATATGTCTTATATATATATATATATATATATACACGATAGTATTAGTGTAATATTAATACTAACAGAAGGGATTATCTTTTATTGAATCTGATCAATAACAAAATAATTATCTACTTACATGCAATAATCTGTGTGTGATATATATATTATATATTATTATTTATAATAATTATTTATTATAATATTATAATAAATAATTATTAATATATATTATATATTTATAATATATTATATATTATATCTTAATAATATC